GACATACAGGCTCCTACAACGACCAGCTCACCGACTCCGGCGCCGACCAGCTCGCCGACTCCTGCACCGACCAGCTCACCGACTCCGGCGCCGACAAGCTCGCCGATTCCTGCACCGACCAGCTCACCGACCCTGGCACCGACCTGGCACACAGGGTGGAGACAACAACGCATGCGCCTACGCCGGCACCAGCGCCAGCGCCTACGCCAGCTCCGAGGTCATCGCTCACAGCAGCGCGGACGCCAGCAGAACGCCGGCGCCTGCGCCGCCACCAACGCCAGTGCCTACACCAGTACCGATGTCATCACCGACGCCAGCACCAACTCTGACGCCAGCACCAGCACCGACGCAAACACCGGCGACAGCAGGAACGCCTGCGATTGCGGCGGCACCTCCGACAGCGCCTACACCAGCGCCGACGCCAGCATTGACGTCAGCACGAACGCCGGCGCCTGTGCCGGCACCAGCGCCAGCGCCTACAGCAGTACCGATGTCATCACCGACGCTAGCAACAACCCCGACGCCAACACCAGCACCGACGCCAGCACCGTCGCCAGCACGTATGCCGGCGCTTGCGCCTGCACCAACACCAGTGCCTACACCAGCACCACTGTCATCACCGACGCCAGCACGAACGCCGACGTCGACACCAGCACCGACGCCAATGCTTACACCAGCGTCGACGCCAGCACTGACGCCAGCACGAACACCGGCGCCTGCGCCGCCACCAACGCCAGCGCCTACACCAGCACCGAGGTCAGCACCGACGTCAGCACCAACGCCGATGCCTACATCAGCACCGGCGCAAGCACCAACGCCAGCAGGAACGCCTGCGATTGTAGCGGCACCAACGCCAGCGCCTAGGCCTACACCAGCGCCGACGCCAGCACTGATGCCAGCACGAACGCCGGCGCCTGCGCTTGCACCAATGCCAGCGCCTATACCAACACCGATGTCATCCCCGTCGCCAGCACCAACGCCGACGCCTACAGCGTAACCGACGCCAGCACCGACGCCAGCACAGACGACGGCGCTTACGCCAGCGGCGGAGTCAGCATCGCCACCAGCATACATCAGCGCCGACACCAGCACTGACGCCAGCACGAACGCCATGCTGCTCGGCAGCGGAAACGCCGACGCTGGGCAGCACGACTCTGTCGAGCATGGCGGATTGCAGCAGTACGCCGATGAGCAGGCAGGCGAGGGCAGCGCCCGAGTCAGCTATCCTACCTGCCAGGCAGCTCGCCAGCAGCACCAAACCCCAGCAGCGCCGTGCAGCCCCAGGCTCCCATCAGGATCTGCCCTCAGGAGCGGTTGTCGTGCCCGTGGCTACGCCGTGCACTACGGGTTCTTGCCGCACGACTTTGGGCGGTTCGATGGGTACCAGCCGCACGACCTGGAGCAGCACGGATTCGGGATGAAGTTCTGAGGCGGGTGTCACACTGACGATCCAGGCAGGCCGGACGAAGAGTCCCAGGCTATCTGGGCGGCTGGAGGCTGCAGGTCGAGTTCATTCATACTGCTTACTGAGGAATGGTAGTTGGGCGTTGTTCAGTTCCCCGCCCCTCGCCTCCCTGGTTCTCTTTCTCTCTCTCTCGCCCCCTGGTGCATGCCCAAGTGTTCTGAGTTTTTTGTAATTTCGTCGTGCGTCCGCAGGCCAACCCGCGCGTGCTAGGTTCTGCTCCGGGCGTGCACGCCTGCGCGGCCTGGGGGCCCTGGACGATACAGCCATACTAAAAGCCTTAGTGACTGTTGGGTGCGGCGCTGCGCTCCCTGCGATACTTCGCTGTGTACTGTAGTTATGTAGTTGGTCTTCCGACTTGTGGAGCCTCGTGCTGTGAACAGGTCGCGGCCATTGTTGTTATGCTCTGTCTCTCTCTCTCTCTCTCGCTCTCTCTCTCTCTCTTTCTCTCTTTCTGTGCTTCCCGTCCACGCGGACGCCGTAGGGCTGATAGGAATATGGGCGTTTTTTCTATCGCTTTGCCCGCGCCTGGCCGTTGCTGTCTGTCGTGCGCGCTTTCCCCTCTGCTTCCCTCCTCGCTCCTCCCTCCTGAATTGCCGCCGTGTGTGCTTTTACTTTTTGTTTGTGGCCGTCTGGGCCACAGGGGATCTTCACACGGCGCCGCCCTTTCTCCTGTGCACGAATCTGCTGTTCCCTGCTTTGTAAAAAAAACCAAAAAACAAAAAACAAAAAAAAAAAAGAAAAAGAAAAACAAAAGGTCAAGGTCAAGGTCAAGCCTGTATGCCCGCGATGGGGCGGCCGCTTAGGGCACAGGCGGGTGAAAACTAGCATGCGCTCAGGTGGTGAGGAAAATCTCCGGTCATACAATTCCAAGAATGTGGGTCTTTGGCTGCTACTCTCCAGCCACCGATCCCGTACTTGTCGCAGAAGCACTCGACATCAAATTCCCACGTCTTCCGCGGTCTCCCTTGGGACCTGCTTCTGGCAGGTGTCCATGCAAGCATGCGTGACAGCCATCTGTCTGCAGGCAGGTTGGCAACGTACCCGGCGAAGTTCCAGTATTGGCGGAACAGTTTTTCCGACCAAAGTTTGGCCTGAGTGCCTTGTAATTTCTCGGTAACACGGTCGTGCCACACATGTAATATTTCATGCCATGGACAGGTCCAGTCGACCTCGCCTGGCGGCCCGACAACTTGTCGAAGAAGCTTGCGACACGCAACGTCCAGCTTCTTCCGCTCGGCTGCATAGACCACGCGGTGAGCAGAACCAAACATAGCAATCGGGGTGATGACGGCATGGAAGTAGTTCAAGCGCAGCTCAACCGGTACACGCTTTGCTGCGAGGATCCACCGGCTCGCGAAGAAAGTCCTTGCAGCTGCTTGAAGATGGTATTCTTGGTCTTGCTTCACAACGTCGGTCGACAAAATGCATCCTAGCCATTTGTGACAGTTCGCGCGCTTGATACATACACCAGAGGGGAGCAAAAGCTTGTCCGGCGGTTGCGCCTCGGTAGTCAGGGCTGCAGTTTTGTCGGCGTTCAGCATCAGGCCAACTGCGGCGAGCTCCTCAACCAGCTACGCCAGAAGACTCGCAGCCTCTTTTTGCGATTTAGCGAAAAATACAACGTCGTCAGCAAACCGCAAATCCAATAATCGACGCAATCCGTCTCCCAGGTCAAAGCCTGCTGCCCCGGACTTCCGGCGCCAACGGGCCATCGCCCACTCCAACAAGCAACAAAAGAGCCTTGGGCTGAGAACGCAACCCTGTCGGACTCCAGCTCGGATGCCAAAAGGGTCGCTGCGTTGAGAGTTGCCTTTCACCTGCCCAGTCTGTTTCTCGTAAAGCACCTGCAATATCCATATGAGGTGGTCGGAGATACCGTGCCCGCGCAAAGCCGACCACAGAGCAGACCAATCCACACGATCGAAAGCCTTCGACAAATCCAAGCTCACAGCCCAAACTGGTACACCAACCGACCTTGTCTTGTCCAAGAACATGTTTGCTGTCAGGAGGTGTTCCTCGATACGGTAATCGGCCCGGAAAGCGTGTTGCTCTTCAGGTTGGTGTTTGGTCAGCTTTCTCTCTAAGCGCCCCAACACTAAATATGCAAATAGCTTGTACAAAACCCGTACGCTGGCAATGGGCCGGTAATCAGAAACAGCTACGGCCTTCGCACTTTTCGGAAGCATCTGGAACAAGGTTCGTCGCCAGCTCTCCGGGGGAAGCCCCTCCAGCAATACTCTGTTGTACAGTGATAGCAAACAACTCCTGAAGGGAGCTGGAGTGATGTGTAGGAGTTCTGCAACCAAGCCAATATCATCAGAAGCTCGCTTCGCGTTCACCCTGCCCACCGCAGCGTCTAGTTCTGTCGCGGAGAACAGATCCTCTGTGAGAGTTTGCGGTATTGCCGGCGCAGGCGGCGCCCCAGCAAACAAGCCGCCAAGGAATTGAGCAAAGTCATTCTCCGATGGTGGTTGGGGATGGCTTCTCCCTTTGATCTTCTGCAACAACGATTTGATTTCGTGCCAATGCTTCGAACTCTTCAACATGTCCTCCAATTGTGCTGTCTTCCATGTTCTGACCACCTGTCTTTGCAAGCGCCGGATCTCAACACTGAGCCGCTTGGATTCAGCGTGGTCGCGGGCACGTCTTCTCTTAACCCGGAGCTCCTGAAGACGTGAACTTGGACTGAAACGTATCTTGCGGGTCGCAGTATAGCCGAATTTCGTTGCCGCATTTTGAAGGGCTGCTTCAACTTGCTCGAAAGACGCCGTACTCCCATGTTCTAGCACCCACGTGCTCAGGTAATTTTGAAAATCTTTTGGTTGGCCACACTCGTCCAGATTTGGTTTCCACTTCTTGAAAGACTTCTGGCGCCGTTTGCGCCTTTCCCAATTGGTAGACATGTCCCGCTGCACCCTCAGCTGCGCAACGCTGTGGACGCAACGATGGTCAAGACCGATTGGCAAACAATTGTCGTACCATGTGCTGTGACAGTGGACCCGGCTACCCGCCAGAAGAAAATCTAGCTGCACCAAAGCCCCGTCCATAGTACGTCTGCAGGTCCAGCCATGTTCACTACGTTCTGCCACCGACTGCCGGCTCAAGATGCGCAGCCCGTGCTCCAATACGAACTGGACCATCAAATTTCCACGTTCGCTCCGGGGCCCAGTCCCGCAATCGTCCAAAGAGTTTGCAACGTCGAAAACAGCAGGTGCGCCAATAGATGCATTGAAGTCGCCGCCAACCAAAGGGATCCGACCATGCGCGTCGCAATCCAGAAGCAGCAAAGACAAAGCGTCGTATAATTCCTGCACAACGTCATCGTTCTCCCAAGCAGTCGGAAAGTAACAAGCAATGGCCCGGAACAATTTGCCGGCCAACTGAAAATCTAAGGAACAGAATCTTGGAGAATATGGCTGAAAACGATCTCCCAAAATACGTGACGAAAATCTCGACGATATGTTGATGCCAACCCTTCTGTGCATTGAACCTCCACTCATGTAAAGTTGCCCCCCCGCTGGGATGGATATGACTTCCAGTCGGTCTTTGCGTCAAGTTTCCGAAAAGAACGCAACATCATATTGTAGCTTGTCAAACTCCTGCAAAAAATCAAGAAAACGATTCTCTTCCCGGATGCTCTGCAAATTCTTTGTGAACATGCGTATATTCATGAATTCGTCGTGCATGTCGTGCTCTATGTCCTGGCTGTCCTGGCTGTCCTGGCTGTGGCTGCTTTGGCCATGCCTACCCTGCCAGAGTCCCTAGAGACACATCTCCTCCACGACCTCCTCAACTGCTCCCTTCAAAGTCTCTCCTGCCGAGTGCTCCCCCTCGGCCCACTTCACGGAAGCGTCGTCCAGGACATCGTCCAGATGCACCAACTTCCGGCCATTGCGCACGTGCACTTTGAAGGTCCTGTAGTTCACGACGACGTTCTTCGCGTCGTAGTCCTCGTGCTCAATCGCGAACTTTTTGATTATGCTCAAAATCTTTACCCGCCGCCGCTCCTCGACCGACCTGTTTTCTGAGGCCCACAAGCCTGCATCCTTGAACTTCTGGTTCCTGCGCTGTTTGCGTAAGAACTTCAAAGCCGTCGTGTCCGACACGAAACGGACAAAAGCCACAACGGGCTCCGGGTTCGTGACGTACACCTCCTCCACCCCTTCAACATCGTCGAACACATCCCCGACGTACTTCTCAGCTGCGTCGGCATCCATCTCTCCGAATCCCCCGACCACGACCACCGACTTATCGACATCGGCCTCCACCTGTTCATTTTCCCCTCCTCCCCCTCCTCCGCCCCGTCGCGTTTTGATGACTTCCTCCAGGGCGCCAATACGATGTTCGAGTTTCTTGCGATGTTCACGTTCCTGTTCCAGCTCCTCCTTCAACGGGGCAATGGCCTCCTCCATCCTTGACACCACCACCCGTTCCATCTCCTCATTGCCTGCTCGGATCTCCTCCTTGATCATGCCCCGAAGCGCTGCGATCGTGGCCGGGCTCATCTCGACTCTCTCGATGGTATCTGTCTTCAGGGTGTCCGAGAATTTTTGGGCGAGGTCTCGAACTGGAACTTTCGATCTTGCCATGCCCTCCCGATCAGGGGTCCCCTCGACGGCGCCACGTTTCGATGAAGATGCTCGATCGTCGGCCTGATCCAAAACTTTGAGAAATCCGTTCTCGTAATTGCCGCTCGAATCTTGAAACATAGCACCGTACAAGCCTGCCTCGCCCGTCGTCGACGCTACCTTGTACCGTTCGTACCGTTCGTATGCTTTGCTTCCCTGCCGGTGCGGGTTCTCCTCCTTAAACTGCACCGGAGTTGCCCCGTTCTTCAGAACCGAAATTTGCGCTGAGGAAAGAGGCATCCTGATCCTGATATCTGAGCTCCAGTTCGGTAGCCGAATATTAGACACCCTGAAGGGAGACCTGAAACAGCTTGAGACCTTGAGCCAAAACCTAGAGGGTTCAGCACGCCAGGCACCCCTGTGATGAATCAACAGGGGGCGGCGGATCGAAGACGCCTACGGCGAATCACCGCCGCCCCCTGCCTTTTTGGAAGCGCCTATGTGGCCGAACGTTGAGGTCAGACCTGCCAAGCTATCGGACCATGTGTTCCCCGAATCGGTTTGGAAAGCCTTCGGGGAACACGTGGGCATCTTGAAGGTCATCTTGGCCGTCTGGAGGCCATTTCGACCTTGCGGGCCTTCTTGGAGGACGTCTTGGAGGGCTCTTGGGCAGTCTTGGAGGCCATCTTGAGCGTCTTGGAGACCTCTTGGGCCGTCTTGGGGGCCTCTTGGGGCCGTGTCTTGGGCCTCTTGGGCGATCTTTGGGGGCACTTGAGCCGTCTCGGGCCGTCGGAAGGCAGAACAAACGCAAATGCCACAATCCTTCAAAAACCATGGGAAAAATGACTCTGACCTTTTCGGGCCTTCCTGGGGGCCCTCTTGGATGCCTCTTGGGCCGTCTTGGGCCACCTTAGGGCCATGTTCGGCCGTCTTGGTGGGCTCCTGGTCCGTCTGACTCCGTCGGAAACCGTTTGGGGGGCCTCTCTGAGCCGACTTGTGGCCCTCTTGGAATTTTCCAGGGCAGTCTTGGAGGCCATCTTGAGCGTCTTAAAGGCCTCCTGTGCCATCTTGAGGGCCTCTTGGGGCCGTCTTGGGGCCCTCTTGGGCCGTTCTGGGGCCATCTTGGAGGCCTCTTGGGCGATCTTTCGGCGATCTTTGGGGGCTCTTGGGCCGTCTCGGGCCGTCGGAAGGCCGAAAAGAAGCAAATTTCAAAATGTTTTTGGCCTCTTCTGGCCTTCCTGGAGGCCCTCTTGGTGGCCTTTTGGGCCGTCTTGGGCCAGCTTCGAGCCAATTTCGGCCATCTTGGTGGGTTCGTGGCACGTCTGACACCGTCGGGAGCCGTCTTGGGGGCCTTTCTGGGTCGACTTGGGGCCTTCTTGGGACGCTTCGGGGCCGTCTTGGGGCCATCTTGGGCGTCTTGGAGGCCGTCTTGGGCGTGTTAGAGGTCTCTTGGGCTGTCTTGGGGCCCTCTTGGGGCCGTCTTGGAGGCCACTTGGGCCGTCATGGGGCCCTCTTGGGGGCCTCTTGGTTGATCTTGGGGGCCTGTTGGGCCGTCTTGGGCCGTCAGAATGCCGACAAGAAGCACATTCCAAAACCCTTCAAACACCTAAGGAACATCCATGATTTTGGCCTCTTCGGGCCCTCCTGGAGGACCTCTGGGAGGCCTCTTGGGCCGCCTTGGAGGCCTCTGAGGGGCCTCTTGGGCCGTCTTGGACTCTCTTGGGCCGTCTTGGGTACATTTTGGGCCGTCTTGGAGGCATCTGAAAGCCATCTTAGCCGTCTTGGAGGCCATCTTGGCCGTCTTGGAGGCATCTTGGAGCCGTCTTGGGAAGGAAATTGGGGAACTGAGCGCTTTATGGGGGGCGGGCGGGACGGGCCGAAGCCCTTGGGGGAGTTCGTTTGGAAAAAGAACCAAAACCAAAACGTAAGAAGTCCAGCACGCCAGGCACCCCTGCGATGAATCGACAGGGGGCGGCGGATGACGGAACGCGCGCGTTAGCGTGCGGTCCGTTAGTCGGAAGAAATTGGATTTGGGGGAGTTCGAGGGGGTTGGCATCGCGAGCCCCGAGATCTAATTGCCCTCCCGCATCGTTTTTTTATCGAGTAGGATGGCCTTCGGGGCTTAAAAAACAGCGTTTCGCTCGAGGCATCATCGGAGAACGCTTCTTGGGCGTTTCTTGGGCCGTCTTGGGCGCCTAAGACAGCCCAAGAAGCGGCCAAGACTGCGCCCAAGACGGCCCACGACGGCCCAAGAAGCGCCCAAGACGGCCCAAGAGCGCCCCAAGAGAGCCCAAGACCGCCCAAGGCGGCCCCAAGACGTCCCAAGAGGCCTCCACGACGCCCCAGGGGGCGCCCACGAGGCGTCCCAAGAGGGCCCCACGAGGCCACAACCATTGATTTTCTGATGGAAAACTTGCACTTTTAGCATATACGGCGTTTCGTCTTTCATGGCGTTGAAGACGGTCCAAGAGGCCCCCGAGACCGCCCCAAGACGGCCCAAGATGTTGCCAAGAGGCCCCCAAACTAGCCCAAGAGGGCGCCAAGACGGGCCAAGAGGCGTCCAAGACTGTCCAAGAGCGCCCCAATAATGCCCAAGAAGGCCCCAAAACTGCCAAAAAGGGCGCCAAGACGGCCCAAGAGGCGCCAAGGCGGCCCCAGGACGGCCCCAAGAAGGCCCCGAGAGGCCCCAAAGCGAGCCCAACGACGGCCAAAGGCAGCCTAGTCCTTTCACCCCCGCAGCCCAGAAGCCCCCCCCCCAGGAGGCCCCAAGAGGCCACCGAAAAGCCCCAAAAGGTCCCCAAGAGGCACCCAAGAGGCTCCCCAAGAGCCCCCCAAGAGGCCCAAAATACTCCCAAAGGCTCTTAGCACCGCGGCTCCCAAGAGCGAGCGGTGACGTAATCGAGTTGATACGACCAAAGCTCCCAACCGAGAGCTGCGGCGTAATAAGTTCTTGACGCCAGGGCACAGGGACGGGCGGCAACGCGTGGACAACGAGCGGCCCACGCAAGGAAAACGCGGGGTTCTGGAAAGCTGGCAGCCCAAACGCGGAAAACGCAACGCGACCCGACCGCCCCCTCCAAAACAAGAAACGCGCTCAAAGAAAGCTCCGCGACTCTCCGAGGCTGAGATAGGACAAGAGCGAGGGGAAGGGAGCCAATAAGAGGTGTAAGAGCGGACGAGCCAGCGATCTCGTGCGCTCTGAAAGTAAGTGCGCTTTCCGTCCCCGTGCCAAGCAGGTCTAATGGCCTTCGGCCCATCCCGCCACCGTGCGTGCTTTGTGGGTTGTAGGTTCGAGTTGTTAGGGATGCTGCTTTGGGTCTCTTCGGAGCGCTCTCGGGGGCATCTTGGGAACAGTTTAGGGGGCATCCTGCGAGCCTGGGGGCCTCTTGGGGGCCTCTTGGAGGCCTCTTGGGAGCCTCTTGGGAGCCTCTTGGAGGCCTTTTGGGTCCTGCTGGAGGTCCCTTGGGGCCGTTTGCTCGACATGTCCGCTTGGGTACCCCATCTGGACCTCCTCTTGGAGCCGTCTGTGGGGCCTCTTTGGCCGTTGTGGGCGCCTTTTGGGCCGTCTTGGGGCTCGTTTGGGCCGTTTTGCGGTTCTCTTGGAGGCCTCTTGGGCCGCCTTGGGGCGATCCTGGGGGCCTCTAGGACCGTCTGAGAGCGTTGGGAAGCAGAAGCTGCGAGAACGCGAAACACCTTCAGAACCCTGAGGACAATTAATATGTTTGACTTCTTGTGGCCCTCTTGGGAGGCCTCTTGGAGGCCTCTCAGGGCGTCTTGGAGGCCTCTTGGGCCGTCTGGGGACCATCTTGAGCGTCTTGGAGCGATCGCTCGGTGACTCGGTGTCCTCTTGGACCGTCTTCGGGGCCTCTTGGGGCCCTCTGGGCCCGTCTTGCGGCCTCTCGGGCTCGAGGAAGTCGCGCGCCACCTCGTGGCAACGCCCAGTGGGCAGGCGCCAAACCCCGGAAGAATTCTGAATTTTGGGTCCAGGCCCAAGACTGTTCAGGGGTGAGGACTGAGGCTCAGGGGATTCGGCAAAGGACCTGAGGACACGCCCACTCCGTGCCCAGCGGTACGCAGAGGAAAGTGTTGGGAACGTCTGGAGAGGGGGCTCAAGGCGACCTTGGAGCTTCTCGCGGACAAATATCCCGAGATCGGGGTTCCCGTTTGAAGCTTTGGTGTGGGGAGTCTGAGAGGCGCGCGGATTCGCACCTCGCCGTGATTCATTTCAATGCACGCGGCGCTGTTGGGCAACTTGGTGGCGCTTCCACGGCTGTGATCTTGTTGCCATTTTACCGTTATGATTGTCTCACTACTAAATCTATGTCCCCCCTTCTCACTCCTCTCCCCTTCCTCCGCCACTCTCCCTTCTGCCGATTTCGGCGACGGTCGATGGCCTTGCTTTCGAGTAGTTTGATTTGCAGGGGGCGATCGAGGTTAAAGAAATGCACTCTCCTTTCCTTCCGCCTCCTTTGTCCTCTCCCTGCCCGTCCCTCCCCCTCCTTCTCCTCCCTCCCCCCTTCCGCCTGGGCCCCTCTTCCACTTCCCGTATCTTTCCCCTCGTCCCCAGGGGAGGAGGGGGAGGCATGGGAGATGGAAGAAGGAGGGGGAGGAGGCATTGGGTTGGAGGGCTTCCTCCACCTTGCCCACCCTCCGCCTCCTCCTCGCCCCGGGCTGGCACTAAGTGCAGGCCCTCGACCTCGCGGAGGACCCCGGCTGGGGCAGGGCAGCATTTGCCCAGCTGGCCTGGCCACCCAGCGCGAAGTCCGAGGCAAGGCTGCCGCGTGCAGGTCATTCCAGAAAGAGCCTCGGCTTCGTCGCGCTTCGCCCTCGGCGTTAGCCGGCTGAAGAGAAGCGGCGGCGGGTCCGCTGGCGGAAGCACGCAGGAAGGCGGCGCAAGCGAAAGTGAGACGTCAACGCCCTAGGGTTTCCAGAGTCGGCC